ATTGATGAGGGAAGCACATTACTTCCTTGTAGCCAAATATAGAAGAGTTTAATTATGCTATGCCAAAAAATTGTGCTGCTGGAAGCACGGGTGTGATAGTGAATGGGCGTGAGCTTCATGAGAAGGATATGGATCTACTTGTTAGGAGAGGTCTACCACTTACAAGAAACAAGTCGTATCTAATTGAGATGTCAGGAAGAGTTTTTGATGTTCAAACTGGTGAAGAGCTTGATGGCCTTGGCAAACTTGCCCCAACGTAAGTTATTCATGTTTCCGGCATGTATGAGGAGTAGACTATACAAGATGTTGTCTTTGTCTCTTTAAGTGAGCTTTCATATAAGCAAACTGCTAACTCTTGCCATTATTTTACAGAGTTGAAAGAGCAGGGCATGGATTTGGAATGAGAGTCCCAAAATCACTTGTAGAGGAGTCACATTAGGGTATGATCTTCACTTTGCAGCTGTTTGGCAATACAGTTGTATTTTGATGCACAATAAGAATAAAAAAAATAAAAAATTGATCTTGGACATTTATTTTAATGTTATGTAAGTGCTGAATGTTGCACATAAGTGGCTGAAATGCTTGGCAAATTCAAAATTTACCTGGAGGTTGATGTGAAGATGGCAAATGTTATGATGCTTAGTGAAGTTACTAATTTTGAATTAAGCAGGACTAGTTAACAAGTTCACACACTAACTGGTTATTGCATCATATGAGTAATTTTTTTATAGAAGATATTTAATGTAGCTGATTGACTGGGATTAATTGAGTAGGTGCTCGTAGTCAAGTGGTAGACTCGAAACGAGGCTTCCCGGTATCATGGCATACCATCTCTCTACACGCCTTCTCGGCAGATAGTGTTTGGGGTGAGCGAATTCACCTTTTGGAACAAGTTTTTAATAGAGAAATGCTTCAATGAGATTGTTTGAAAGCAAAGTTACAAGAGGAAATAATATTTTTTGTTATCCCAAACTAGATTGTATTGTTGTTGTACTGAGTATGTATGAGTTTAAAAACAAAATAGTTGCAAAAGTATCCTTCACTTTCATTCAAAAACAAGTATCCTTCACTTGATAAAAACTGTGTTAATTTATTGTCTTAATTTATTGTCAATTTGTCATGCTACAAATTAGGGGTGGACTTGGGTCCGGGCCGGGTCCGGGTCGGGCCTAGGCCCGGGCGGGCCGGCGGTTCAGGAATGGTAGACCCGGGACCGGCCTGGGTAGCCACCGGGTCCGGTCCGGGTCCGAGCTGGGCCGGGCCGGGCTTCCGGTTTGGTTTTTTTTTGCTTTCCTAACACCCCCCTCACCCCCCCACCACCACCACCCTCCCAAACCCCCCCACCCAACCCCTCCTAACCATCAACCCCAACCCGGCTGGAACCCCAAAAAATGAAACAAAAATCAATTTGGCCCGGACCCGGACCCGACCCGGCCGGGCCGGTTCGCCAAAAGTGAGACCCGAGCCCGGACCCGCACTACCCACCGGGCCTAGGCCCGACTAGGGATGGACCGGTTCCGGTTCGGGCCTGGCCGGGGCTCGGTTCATGAAGGGGAGGCCCGGAACCGGCTCGGGTAACCCTCGGGTCCGGGCCGGGCTGGGCCTCGATTCTATTTTTTTTTTGGCTTTTCCTAGTTAACCCCCAACCCTCCCCCTCACCCCCAAACCAACCCTAACCACCTCAAATGGCCAAAATACCCAGCCCAACCCAAAAACTTAAAAAAAATCAAAAAAAAAATGCCCGGCCCGAACCGGCCGGGCCGGTTCACCTTTTGAAGAGCCCGAGCCCGAACCGCCATTCCACTGGTTCACCGGGCCGGTTCGGGCCCGCACAGTAGTGGGCCGGTCCGGTTCCGGTCCGGTTGGCCCGGCCCGAGTCCACTCCTAGGCTCGACCCGGACCCGGACCTGAGAACCGGGCCGGTCCCGGTCCCGCACAGTAGCGGGCCGGGCCGGTCCACGGGCTGGGTGGCCCGACCCGAGTCCAACCATACTACAAATACTAAAAAAAGAACTTGCAAATTTCCGCAAAGAGAATGTTGTTTTTCCACACATCACATTATATGTCATTAATGAGCGTATGGATGCATTTTCCCGATTCGTAAGATGAGTCTTCTTGTCTATACAATAATGAGAAAGCGGCCATGCATAAGTGCATAACATACATATGGGCAACAACCAAAGCTGAATAAGGAGAAAGAACTATACTAAGCAATTAAAGCAAATATACTCAAAAAATGGAATTCAACCATGAAAAGGTGCATCATTATATAATTAAGAGAAAAGGATCGGTCCTCGAACTTACATAAAAAGGTCAAATAAGCCCTTATATAGGCGGCTTTGTTCGGCCGTCGCCATTTGGGGCGGCTCTTGGTAGAATTTTTTGATGAATTTTTTTGACCATATTATTAATCGGGAAGGCATTCAAATTAATTCTTGTAAATATAAATGAATGTGTAAATGCTGTGTAAAAAGTAAAAAAAATGAATAAATAAAATATTGAATTTGATTATATTGTTTGTTGATGCAAATATTTTACATTTGGTATAAATGTTACTCCCTTCGTTATTAACTGTCTCGTATTCCTTTTAGGAAGGGCCTGGGAGGCTTTTAATTATTTGTCCTCTTTCCCTTTTTGGTAATTTTTTTCAATCAAAATACCTTTATACAATTATACCTCCACTTTTATTACCATTACCCCTTTCTCTTTCCTATTTTTTCATTTACTCACAAGTCACAACCCACTACAACTTTTACATTACCCCTATTATTTTCCTCTTAAAAACCGTGTCAAAGCCTAAGGACAAATAATAAAGAACCGAGGAGTATTATACATCATGTATAATGCAAATAATATACATTTAAAGTATTTTTTTATATATAATGGAAAAGGGTGAACTTAGTTGTCTGGTTGAAAAACAATTGTTGATACAAATGTTATACGGAGTATTTTTTATGTAAATACTGTTATAAACAAGCTAGAGTTCATTCTAAAGATGTGTAAATAAAATTTATTTTGTACTCCATCTGTTCTTATTTTATCTTCCAAATAGTTTTGGCACACAATTTAAGATAATGGGTATTGTGTGGTGGAGAGTTGTGCAGAGGAGAGAGAAATGTGTAAGAAATGTTGTGAACCACAAATACTTTACTAAAAAGGGAAAGTGGAAGTTTTAATTAGAACGGACGAAAAAGAAATATTGGAAGTTTTAATAGGAACGGAGGGAGTACTACGTATAAATCATGCAAAACACCGACGTAGTTAGATATGAAGTGTAGGATGTTTTTACTTGGACTGTAATTTGCTGGTTTGATCTGGTCTGGTCTAGTTTGAACTGGTCTGGTCTGATTTTTTGTAATTTTATAACTATCCAAGTCTGGTACCTGAACTGCAGTAGCGCTTAGAGCTATAAAAGGGTCTAGAAGAAATTGTAGTCCAAGTAAAAACATTTTAATTGACTAAAAGTCTAAAATTGAAGAAAAATAATGAAATGCTCGAACTAGAGTTGCAGGCTTATATAATATACTCCGTATAGATGAAAGATTTTGGTGTAAATGATGTTAAAATATTGTAAAGACGTGCCAAATGAATGAATGTTATAAATCTTTGTGTATTTAATGGGAGACGATGATTATAGATGAACCTAAATTTCAAATCACTGAGATATGAAACAGTGCTCGAACAGAAGTTGCAAAAGTTCCACAACATAAAAATTTAGTACTCCCTCCGTCCCATATTTAACTCCGGTTTGGACCAGGCACGAGTTTTAAGATAATGAGATTTGTGTGGTGGAGAGTTATGCAGAGGAGAGAGAAATGTGTAAGAATGGATGTGAACCACGTATTTTTTACCAAAAAGGGAAAAAGGAGATAAATTTGGGACGGACCGAAAAGGAAAGAATGAAGATAATTCCGGGACGGAGGGAGTAGAACTCTTTTATAACCCTCCGACTCCTAGCCCTCTAAATGTCCTAAGACTCTAAGAGTCGTGGTTGAATAGATCACCCCCCCCCCCCCCCCCCCCCCCCATGGCCCTATTAGGTGGTCAAAAGGCAAAAAAAAAAATGGAAAATAGCCATTGGGGACCAGCCAGTTCCGGTCCCTATTATTTAAACCCAGGACCAGCACTAGTGGGGTATGTCTCCCGTGAGTGGCCCTAGCCTCTGGTCTTCTATCCAAATTGTATTTTTCAGTTCTGGTCTGGTTGCGTGAACCAACCAATTATGGTCCCGATCGGTCGGGGACCGTGGATCGGGTCCACCACTAGTTGAAGTTATATGACTGTTGGGATTTATGTTTATCAAAATTGTCCGAAAATTACCAAATTTTTAAGACGTTTATAGAATGTACATATAACAAACTAGAATTTAGGATTTCACGACCACGCGACCTCATGAAATTAAGGAATCAAAATATCAGATCAATGAGAGATCTTTAATTGAAAATCAGTGGGAATTAATACCTTGCAATCTTGGAATTTAGGATGAACAAACTTTGGAATTCAAATCCTTGTGGAATTATGCAATCCTTTGTTAAAAAGATCAAACCATTTACACCAAAGGCTCTTTTTACATGGAGTCAAGGACATACCACCACAATCCAAGCAAGATTTAATACCTTGCAATCTTGCATTTCATGAAGAGATGACATGTTTTTGGACAACATTACATGGTATTAAAAAAATTGTAATGACTTATAAGTACAACAACAGCATTACTCAGGTGCGGCAATGCTGCAAAGGCTTCCCACATACAGTGGGATAGAGGTTAAATGTACGCAGTCTTACTCATGTACTAAAGCACAAAGAGATTGTTTTCGAAAATCCCATGATGAAAATCACGTCAAAAATTGCATGAACTGACTTGTTTCATGATAAAAATCGCAGACAATTTAATGAGCCATTTTGCTTTATTTCCGCCAAAAAATTACGAGTCTTTGGCTTCATCATATATCCATTGTAATAACTTATACGTAAAAACATAAAATTTGTTACACTCAATCACATGCAATGCACCAACTGCTGATAAGTAGTATATAATCAAAATATAGTTACTTTGTTCTAATGAAAATGGACAACAAAATTTTCCTGTCAAGTGCTAAAATCTCTAGGTACAATCACATTTCTCGGACTCTTCTAAAAAGAGAGCATAACCATATCGTAATTGTATTGGACAATTAAATTGTACAGAAAAAATAAAAGAATAATAAATAAGCCAAACTCAAATGGCTGTAAAGCATGCTCCAGATTGATAGTCGCTGGCGAGTTCAGAACAGGGCGAGGGGCTTACTTGAGTTGCAGAACCACTGGCAAATGAGCACTTCCATGGAGGATTGCGTGATGTTTGGGTACCATTAAAGTTGATATTGGATAAACAGATATTAGTGAAAGGAGATTTTGGTATACCGTGTACTAAACCAGGCTGCAGAACATGTTCACCCCACACGTTCTTGATTTTGATATCCTGAACAATGGGAAGAGCGTTTGGGTTGAATTTGTCATCCGGGTGATCACCGACATCACCCGCGATTTTTATTCCTGTTCGCGCGTTTTGCATGTACACATCGGAAACGGTAATGTTGCTTATGTTCCCTCCACGACCGATGTTAGTTTTTATGTGGATGCCCACACCCATGCTGAAAAGGTTTATATGCTCGGCCAAAACATCAAATACGCCTCCAGAGGTTTCACTTCCCACTGCAATTCCGGCAAATGGGGAAGACCCAGTTACCCTGCGTATGGTAATGTTGTGGCTAGGCCGACCATAAGCAATGCCATACTCATCCCACCCGCTCTTCACAGCAACTAAGTCATCCCCAGTGGAAATATACGAATCCTCTATGCAGATATGAGAACTTGAATCTGTGGCAATAAATATTAGTAATTAAATTTAGAATGACATCCCAATTCACTTAAAGAATGACATCAAACACTGACCAATCTGAATCAAGCCATTTTGGTATATGCAGATGGGTGAATAGTATTGTGGGAGTATATGTTAGTCCTTCCCGCTAGGAATAGTTGTAGGGGAAATAAGTATTAAGATGACAAACACTAATCCAAAAGTCTACAAAAGATGAAGTTAAGTCTGTAGTCTTGAGATTTTATTTAGAGTGAAATTTAGAATACAAATAAAAGATTTAACCAATGAGATGCAAAAACAAAGAGCGAATATAGGAATAAGGCGCTAGTCAAGTGTTCAGTAAGACCAAGGAGGTGGTTCCAAGGAGGTGAGTTCTGGAGTGGGAACCCTTGTCAGCTTCATCTTGGGTGTGAGTTGGAAGCAGTAGTGTCTCCCTTGTCATTGCATCAGTTTATCTATCCAAATTGGTGTTAGCACAACCTCACCTTAGCACATTACTTGATGTTAGCAATAAGATGCATCTCTTTCAAAACATCCAAGCCGGTCTCACACGGTTTGGGGACAAAATGCATGTGTAGAGCAAAAAGATCTCGTGCTTTTGAGTTCCAATTTGCATCATTTCGCAGCATGATGGTCCCCCAGGAACATGCTACCGCCACATGATCCACCAGGAACGATTCTCTCCTTTAAAAAGTTGAAAATATTTAATTTGGTTGTGTAATAAATTTCTTTACTTTCCCGCACTTAACCTTGCATTTGGATATTTTTGAATTTATGCATTTTGGTGACTCCCTAATGTTACTTGTGTTAAAGATGGTAATCATGGTATGTTTATGGGGACGCCCTGCTTGTGCGGGCATATTTTGTGAAATGGGGGCATTCTAAATCTTGTCCTTGTTTGTACAAATTTTTATAAATTAGCGAACTTTTGGACCGGTTGTTTCCAAACGGACCATGGATAGCTTCAATGCCCTATGCTCACTTGTCCAACAATGCTCAGAGTTTGATCTTTTGCTTTCGTGTCTCACAACAATGTTAGTCAAACAAAATGCACAAAAAATTATTCAATTAAAAAAAATCAGACAAAAAATAAATCTCAAAGATAGGGAAATTGGGAGTCTAAACACACTTATACCGACAAAGGTGATACTCCCATTGAGGGGTGATAAGTGAAGTTTAGAAGCAGGTGCACCGTGGACGTACCAGGATCAATTCCATCAGTATTAGGAGAATCGGAGGGAGCTATTATGGTGACATGTCGCACAACAACTTTGCTGGTAAAGAAAATAATGATCAATATCACTTCATAATTTTCTAATACAAAACAGGAAAAATAACGAAGTAAATATACTTTCAGAACTTAAGGTAAAATGCTAAGAAAACTAATACTCAATCATTTCCATCAGGAGTCTAACTAGATGCTTTGTTTTAGGAATTCAGATATAGGTTCCAATATCATCTATTACATTTGATATAATGAATTAAAAAGTGACAGTGACACATTTTCTTTACCTGCAATACACCGGGTGGATATTCCAAAAGGGGGAATTCTTGAAGATTACATTGGAGATGATTATGGATCTAGAGTTCATGAGTTCAACAAGGCTTGGTCTTGTGAATTGAAGAGTCCTTTGCCTCCACATGTTCCACCAGACATCTCCTTGACCATCAATTGTCCCATTTTCACCTGAAAATGTGTAAATTAGTATAGGACATGAAATGTAAAAATAACACTCTTGGTCCACAAAATATAGGGTAATTCAGTAATTGTTAATTCAATATTCAATTCATAGTTGTCAAAAAATGTAGTTTTTGTGTAACTAATGACTAAAATTAATGATGTGGTGTGAGTGGTCTTCAAAACCATTCCCGCCACATTAGGGTCCCTAAAAAGTCAGGAAAGAGCTATTTGGGCATTCTCACTAATGGGCTACAAATGCTACATCTATAAATGAAACATTATTAATTCAATGGAAGTTGTCTTAGATAGGATCATACTTTATCGATTTCCTCAAGTAGAAGTACTTCTACGGTATTCTCTTTTTAGAAGCATATGACTCCTAAAAAAATATTGAAGCAGTAGTCTCGATTGCGGTGGTTGGGTCATGTGCAAAGAAGGCCGAGTGACGCCTTTGATATAGGGGTTGAGAGGTGCGGAGAAGAGGCGGGGAGGAGAGGGAGAACCAAACAGACATGCATTAGAGGAGTCAGGAGTGATATGCTTCTTCTTGGCTGGATAAGGATATGAGTCATATGACTTTGGAAAGAGCAAAGTGAAGGGTGGGTATTCATATGGAGAATTGATCTCTTATCATCTTTTTTTCTCTTTATCTTCTTTTTCTTTCTTATGTTTTCTTTATCCTTTTATTTATATATAATCCTTTTATCATTTTTATCTTATCACTTTTATGTACTACCTCCGTCCCATAAAATTCTTCTAACTTTGACTTGACACGGAGATTAAGAAAGTGGAATAAAGTGGAAATGTATGTTTGTGGTTGTGTAAGAAAAATGTGAAATGAATGTGAACCACACAAATTGTCCAAAAATGGTAAGTGGGAAGATTTTTTTGGGACGACCCAAAAAGGAAAGTGGGAAGAATTTTATGGGACGGAGGGAGTATATCTTATCTCTATTTTATACTCTTTTTTATCCTTTTTATCATATCTTATCTTTTATTCTTTTTTCCCCTTTCATGTATTGATTCATGTTAGCTGACCTCAAAATCGTTTGAGACTAAGGCTTGAATGTTGTTGTGAACTTGTGATGACTCCTACAAAGAAGATGACTTTTTGGGATATTGTGACACACCCCTCATAATGATATAATTTGGCATAATTCCACTATTTCATCACTATATTGTCTATATACTGACACAAGAATTGCCCCTGAGTTATCATACAATTGCTCATAGTATACATTACTGTACAGTTACTCTCCACCCTCCATTCAAACTCTAGCAAGTTAAGTCATGAAGGTTGTTACAAGAGTAATATGGCCATTCACAAACTTTTACTCCTAAAAAAATCAACAACAATCAAGATGTGGCCCTTTTGTGGAATATCGGAAAATATTTTTCCTATCTAAGGAAATTTTTATTAATTCAACAACGAACCTATAATTTAGGGGCTAAAGTCCTAGGAAAGTTTGTCTAATGATAGTACCCAAGAAAGTCAGATCAGAGCAGATACAAGTATCCATTATGACCAAAAGGAGAGGTCATATCACTTGTCTAGTAAATGATCTGAAAGAGTAACTTATCTACTGACTTTATAATAGTTGACTGAAATTTATTCCAATATTCTTGTTGGGAAATAATTTTTAATAATTATACTGTTTTTCGTACTACTAAAAATATCTTTGTTTCTGCAGGTCACTATAACCGATTGTGCCAAATGAATATAAATATTACATTTCTAAATTTATCTAAGCCGCCTTGCCATGCGAAAGGAAGGAGAACATCATCCAACACTGGGGAATGTAGTAATGGAAATTCATTAAGTTATGGTGATGTAGGTCAAGGTGAGGGGCTGGGGACTGAGGAGGCAGCCATGAAGGAGGTGCTGATGATCTGGCAGGTGGTGGTGCAAGCGCCCAGGGAGGTAGTGGAGGAACGGTCGTGGTGGATGAGCTCGAATTAGCCAAAGAGTTCCTATACTGTTTCTGCATAGTGGAGGCAACCCACAGCAAGATCTGTTAAACTTATAAGCATCAAAGATATGGATTAACCTATGTTCTTTATGGCCCTCCACCACCATACTGTGATCTTTTAATCATTTTCATTTTCATTTACCCCAGTGCCGCAAAGGCTCCCACCTACGGTGGGGTAAGGGGGGGTCGGATGTACGCAGCCTTACCCCTGTACTAAAGCACAGAGAGACATTTTCCGGATGACCCATAGTGAAAATCTCGTCCAAAATTGCATGGACTGACTGCTGCTTCATAACAAAGAAGCGCAGACAGTTTAGTGAGCCATTTTGCTTTATTCCATCATAATCTCAAGTCAAAAAATAATGAATCTTTGGCTCCATTGCAAATGATGAAAAATACTGTGATCTTTTAATAAATTCATTATAATCAATCTCATAGGACAAGTTCCTAAAACAATGAACTTCCATTACTACATTCAGCAGAGTAGGATGATGTTCTCTGTCATTTAGAGGTCTGAGGAAAAAACAGCATAACTAACAACCGATTCTGAACAAGCACATTACAGTCAATTCAAATTAATCTCATAGATATTGGACATTGAATGGTATTTAAGAGTAACACATTCTTCTCTAAACTGACCAGTGATAATTACATCTTGGAGCCCATCTCCATGAATAAAGCTTATATACCTCCAACCAGGCCGCTCTCTTCCCCTTCCGTATGAAGCCAAAGGGGGAACCAATGGCCAGTTAGTTGAATCCTACATGTTTGAACACAAATTATAAACAAACTTTTCTGTTTAAAAAGCTATTGGTATAACGGGACTCACAAATATCTAACTTTCAGATATCTTGTAACCCCTATTATTTCAAAATGAGTTAACCTTTGACTATGTGTGAAGCTGATAATAGGTAATAGTACCAAACCATTCTTTGAATCTATAAGAAACGAAAAATGCTTTTTGAACAACAAGGTGTACATGGTACACAGACATGCTCTTTGATGTCGGTTTGGTGTACATTAAGAGAAGGGCTAACCAAAACCTCACTGCAATAAAGAGGTGCACAGTTATAGACAAATACGAAATATGAGCATAAAGTATTAATGCTGCTTGCCTGAGAAGCTTTAATGACAGCATCTTTAGCCAAGAACAAAGTCATGTGGCTTGTAAGATTGAAAGGTCCAGTTAGATACTCTCCGGCTGGAATGTAAAGAAGTGTGCCACCTTCTCGATTCAAATGCTCAATTTGATAAATTGCTTCTAAGAATGCATTTGTGTTCAATGTCTCACCGTCTCCAACCCCACCAAAGTCTTCTATCGATATCCTGTTGCTCCTGTTCCTCATAGGAACTATCCCGGCGCACGTTACCCACTCGGCCATGGCCGAGCAGGTCACCAGAAGCAATACAGCTACGCAGGAGCGGAAAAAAGACTGTAAAAGTCGAAGCATCTTTGATTGGAGAAAAAAGATTCAGACTTCCCGGAGAAGAATGTGAGCTTTACTATGTACCTGTGATCTGGTGAGCGTATGGTTTATTTTCCTTTTTGAGGATTTTAACTTCCAGAATAAATCAATGTTGCTGGGTTTGAACTTAGGTAGCAAAACCAGAAATTTAGTAAACTAAATTGGAGTCATAAAAGCGACTATGCAAGGTAAGGATCCGACTTAAGATATCTTCACAATAGAGAACGCGTAATTTAAGGATAATACAGGATTAGCAAACGGTCATGAAACAAGAAAACAACAACAAATGGAACGAGGTTTGAGAATCCGAAGCAAACTGCAACCACGAGAATCGAAAACAAGGATAAATTGTTTGCGAGCTTCGAACTTTAAGAGAATTACCAAATTGTGGCTGCAAGAAGTGGTGGGCTTCCCTGCAATGCGCGTTTCCACAATTTAAAAATGTTTTAATTTGTGAAGGATATATCACACCGATAACAGCCTGTGAAGATGGCTGGCAGAGTGGGGCGGTCATAGGCACTGTTTAAATTACTTTAATACATTGAAGAAGCCTTTCTTTTTTGTCAAAGGAAAAACTAAAATCTCGTTTATACTCACCCCTAATTTGTTTGTTCACACACGCAATTCTTTAAGAACAAGGCAGCATTTTATTTGTGTTTGTGTGTGTACACAGACAAAATAAGAGGGTGAAGTACAAATGTGTGTACAAAAGTGGGTACAACAAGAAGAACTCAAGGAAAAAACTTACTCCGTATGAATAACAAACTTTTCTAACAAGAGAATGGGGATCAATAGAAAATTGATAGACTGATTTTTTTTAAATTAAGATTAGCCAAGTATCTTGTCTTTCATGTCATCACTGTGACACTCTCAAAGAGAATGTCACAAGTTCGAATCTTATCCCAATTCAATGATGTTGGCCTTAACAAAGAACAGATATTATAACAGGTTATTTGCCCAAAAAAAGACCATATGTTTGGTTTAGAAGGTGTTTGGAATTAATTATGTTTCAACTTCTTTTTTAATAGCAAAAGTAGAGTCAGAATCAATTTCTAGAAGTTGGTCTCCCCCAACTTCTAAAAACTGCTTCTAGGAGCATTTTGGAGCATCCATAAGTATTTTTGCACTTTCCACCAAACACTCCTTGAAGGAGCAGAATCAGTTTTAAGAAATAGATCCAAACACCCATTTACTTAAATAAGACCTAACATTTCCAGGATCCATCAAGAAAGGCACCACAGCCCTCCTGCAAGCCCAACTCCCGTCGTAGCCCAACTCCCGCCCCACAGCCCTCCTGCAAGCCTCACAGCCGCCATCACTGTCCCAACGTTGTCCACCACTTGTCATCGTTGTACTGAATCGCATCTTTGCTCAACCATAGCCACCGTCAGATCTAGAAATCTAACCTTTCCAGGATCCATCAAGAAAGGCACAGAGAAGGCGCTGCGACAGAGCTCTGTGGGGTGGGGGGTATGGCGATGAAGACCTTTGTCGATCGGTGAAGAGCTTACAGAGAAGGCGCAAAGAGAAGCGCAGGTATGACAAAGAAGATCGGCGGAAGGCGTAGAGAATTCGGGGGAGAGAGAGGCGGACGGATTGGGGGAAAAGGTGAGATCACTTTTTTGTCTAGTTAAAAAGTAGTCATATTTTTGTCTACCTAAACTCTCCAAGTGATATTTTTGTCATTCTTTCTTAATTAATTGATCTAATTAACCGCTCTCCCTAATTCCCTTTAATTTCTTTGCATAACCAATATCAATCCGTTGATGGCGGGTCAGTTGAATTTGGTGGCAGCAACGAACTCTGGCGGTGGCGGAATTCTGGCAGGTTGGCAGCGACGGTACACCGCAACCTGGGGGCAGCTCAGCCTTATGGTGCTATTTTAAATTAGTAAGTCCTATTTTAGAAAATTGGCTTTGTTTTTATGGTACTGAGGTTAATCTCCCAAAACCAAATGGTGTCCATTCATGAGGACCACGAAATGTGGGTCATGAACTATCTCTAGAAAGCGTATACTATACAACCGGTTGTACGGTTGGCACCGTACAGCATGTGGTAAATTTGTAATTTTGGTGAAAAATGTGGCTTCTCTTGAATGAGCATTAATGCAATTTTAGTGGGCATCAAATCTGTTCTCTTGAGTATTACGAGCCTAAGAATTATCATCAATGTTCTCTGCTTCATATTTTCTAATTCACTTTAGTTTTATTATTTTTTAAATTATCTACAATAAACATGTATGAACTCAATATGTGAATTTAATGTAACATTATACTTTAGAGATATGCATGAATATGACAATTTAAAATGAATATTACATCAGTATCAAATGAGCATGCATAAATTACGAAATGAGCTTTGAAAAAAGAAATCAAAACACTCATTTAAAAATTCTGTTATGCTCAAAACTTCTTTTGTGTATGCTCATATATGTAAAACTAAGTATAACTTGGATTTCTCCTAATCTATAGTCAACAAGTGACCAAATTCACCAAACTTGTATAAGAAAAAGAGAAAAAAGAAAATAGTGCAAAAAAAGAAAGAGTCCAACTAGCCAGAGCCGCCCTCTACGCAAGCTCGAGTCCAGGTCTGAGGTGTTGCGTTCATTCGGGAGTATGGCGAGTCATCTGTAAACGACGGCGAGCAAAGAGCATCCAGCAAATAGCGAAGTGTGAATGATCGAAGTGTGAATGGTGATCTACGATGGAAGTTAGCGATCGATCTGCGAACTAAAAGGCCGGTAGTACCGTGCGCACGGTACAACCCGTTGTACGATATATTTTACCCTATATCTACTTCAATAAAGATTTTACACGATACTCGTATATAATTAAAAAGTGAAAGTCATTTTGACAATTATCACATAATCGTCATGATTTCGTGTTCGTTAATCACCACAAAACTAGAAAATTATCAAAATATATGTGTAGCACATTAATATGTTAGGTTGTTTACGGATTTGACAAAATTGACATGATTTGCGGTATATATCATCTCATCACAAAAAAAACTACGGAGTACTTTTTAGATGGTCTAATCCCCCATAAATTACGCCAATATGTTCATTAATAGTCAAATTGACGTGTTCAATGTATTTTCTCAGAAAATTACTTTATTGTGGTTAAATATAACAACACATCATATTTTTGAAGTTATTTTAAGACGGTATTTGAGTTGGTTCATTTATTTTATTTGCCTCAAGTAAGTAGGTAAATAGATAAGTAGTAAATAAAATATGTATGAGCAAAAATATGAATTATTTGGATAAATGTAATCACAATAATAATGAAAGGACTCTTTGGACTCGTTTTTCTTCTACTCCTCCTTGAAAGTAAACGATCACTTCCGTGTTTATATATAGTCGGTAGTCAATTAACCGGTGCGTTGCGCGCAGGACAGATAAAGTAAACAACGGTAAATTATGAGCATGTTTTGTAATAATCAAATCGGTTGTATTGGCTGATCATGCTTAAATTTATGAAATTCTGTTTTAAGTGCCTGCATTAGCTGATTCTACTTATTTATGAAAAATTATATTTAAAAATATATTTTCTTAATAAAATAAAAAAATTATATAAAAAAATAGCTAAAAGCCTAAAATGATCTTCTACAATAACTTTAGGCAATACATCTAGAAAAGTGACCCAAACCTTACTTTTTCTTATTATTTTTCGTGTTTGATGAAAAGATTATCTATAACCCTCATACAATTCATAAGGCGTACAACAAAGTATGGGTCATGAACTATCTCTACTTCGGTTAAAAAAAAATTAAGGAGTCACATATGACCATCTTAATGGGGGCATATGGACATCACCATAACGGCTCATTTTTTTAGTCAAACCCTACTAGAAAATGGTGTGGTAATGGTGATGCCACCTTAGGTCATACGTAGGAGTGGACTCGGGCCGGGCCAACCGGCCCGGAACCGGACCGGCCCGCTACTGTGCGGGCCCGGACCGGCCCAGTTTGTCGGTTAGGTCACGGTTCGGGCCACCCGGCCCGGTCATGTAGCGGTTCGGGCCCGGGCTGATATTTTGGTGAATCGGCCGGGCCGGGCCGGGTCCGGGCCGGGCCTCAACGGTCACAAAAAAAAAAATTTAAATATTTGAAGGCTCTACTAGCCGTTGGGAGACCTCCCAAACGGCTCTATAGCCGTTGGGAGCATAGGAGGGGGGTCTGGGGGGTTAGGGGGTGGGGTGGGGGTGGGGGTGGGGTATACAAAAAAAAACCTATTTATACTCCTATTTTCTATACATTTTTTACACCTTCTTCTACAACTCTTCCTACTCTCTAAATTCTCTATTCTCTCAATCTCTCATATTCAATCATCTTCATTCTTCATCTTCTCCAAATTCTTTCTACATATATATAATTTATATAATTATTATATCTACTTATATATTATAATATTAATTATCTACTTATAAATATATACTTATACACATTCATATTATAATTCTTTACGCATTATATTATATACTATATATTGTTATACATTATATTATATATTACTTATAATATATTTACACATTATATATTTATATATACTATATATAGTTATACATTATATTATATATTACTTATAATATATTTACACATTATATATTTATATATACTATATATAGTTATACATTATATTATATATTACTTATAATATATTTACACATTATATATTTATATATACTATATATATATATAAATTACTTATTTTATATATACACTTCTCGTTTATCTATTTAATTACTTAATTGTTTCATTTGTCATATTAATATTAGTTAAAGTTAATTGTTTCATTTGTCATATTAATATTAGTTAAACTACTTAATTGTTACATTTCTCATATTAGTTAATTAGTTAATTGCTACATTTTTACATTTCTCATATTAGTTAATTGCTACATATCTCATTAAAGTAAAAAAAACTAGTTAATTTTTACATTTCTCATATTAGTTAATTAGTTAATTGCTACAATTTTACATTTCTCATATTAGTTAATTAGTTAATTGCTACATTTTTACATTTCTCATATTAGTTAATTGCTACATTTGTACATTTCTCATATTAGTTAATTAGTTAATTGCTACATTTTTACATTTCTCATATTAGTTAATTAGTTAATTGCTACAATTTTACATTTCTCATATTAGTTAATTGCTACATATCTCATTAAAGTAAAAAAAAACTAGTTAATTTTTACATTTCTCATATTAGTTAATTAGTTAATTGCTACAATTTTACATTTCTCATATTAGTTAATTAGTTAATTGCTACATTTTTACATTTCTCATATTAGTTAATTGCTACATATCTCATTAAAATAACAAAACTAGTTAATTTTTACATTTCTCATATTAGTTAATTGCTAATATTTGTTCAATTTTAAAGATGGAGCGTGGTAGACATTCTGTAGATGTGGGTAATCTCCAACGCAACCGCAAGAGGGAGATTGCATCGACTCGATCTACTTCACGCAAAGGCAAAGGTAAAGCGCGGGCCGAGTCTTCTTTTCAAAGTCGAGATGATTTTGAAACGGATTACCAACGGCGAGATGGTATGATGATGTCCGACGAGGAACTACAACACCTATTGTCCCAAAATGATCCACGTTTTGCACAAGAACAACAATTCCCGACAACCATCGATGAAGAGGAGCTCGAGGATGACGATGGGGAGGAGGACTCGGGGGGCGACGGGACTCCGGATGATGAGCAAGAGGACGAGGGCCCTTCAACGACTACAACCCAAATTGGTAAGAAATCTAAATCTCCTATTATTGAAAACAATTATACAAAAAGGAAAGATGAAAAAACCGAAAAATGGTACGCAAGTTGCAATCATTGCAAGAAAGAGTTTAGCTTGGGAATTTCTGGCGGATACGGGAGTCTCAAAAGACATCTTAAGTCCGCCCACTTTGTGGAGTATGCGAAAATAGACAAAGGAAAGGGGAAGCAAACACAAATATCAAAGTTTGCAAATTCTCAACCCTTTGGTAATTTTTCCTATGATGATAACAAACATTTGACTGGTATGTCTCATTTAATTGTTGAAGAAAATTTACCCTTTATTTTTTCCGAAAGTCTTGCTTTAAGAGATTATGCTCAAGGTACTTTAAATCCTCAATTTAGAAATTATAGTCGCAAAACGATTAAAAAAGAAGTTATAAGGCAATATAACTTGGAAAAAGAAAAATTACAAATATTTTTCGCAAACTTTGATGGACATGTTAGTATTTGTAGCGATATATGGGAGGATACTTATCATCATTTATATTATTTGGGTCTAACTGCACATTATATTGATGATGATTGGAATATGCATAAACGTGTTCTTGCTTTTCGTGAATTCAATGATCGTCACACTGCTGATAATATTTATATTCTCATTGAACGTATTTTAATTGAGTATAATTTGATTGATAAGGTGTTTGCCGTAGGTTTTGATAATGCTAGTAATAATACTGCTATACCTAGATTACGTGAATTGTGTGGTGCTTCTACATTGATGGGTAGATTTTTTCATCAACGTTGTGCATGTCATATTCTAAATTTGTGTGTACAAGATGGCTTAGCGGCATTAGGAAATGCTTTGGAGGTAGTCAAGGGGGGAATTAAATTGATTTGGGCTAACACTCCACTAAAAATGCAATGGCGGCAATATTTGAAGGATAGACGTGTGAATTATTGTGCTTTTCCTAAAGATTTGTCTATTCGTTGGAATAATACTTATAATTTAATTCAAGTACTTGTTAGATATAAAGATCATTTTCCAGCTTTTTTAAGACAAACTTGTAACTATATTATAAACCCGGCTGACATCGACACTTGTGAAAAAATTGTTAATGTTTTGGCATATTTTAATAACGCAACTCTAACTTTTAGTCATGTTTATAAACATACCGCAAACGAATTTTTTGTTGAAGCTGTTAATCTCGCCGGCGCTTTTTGTGAATTTTCCGACGCCATTTACGTTAGTTATTTTTGTGATTTCATGAAACAAAAGTTTTTAAAATATTATTCACATATTCCGCATATATATGGTATTGCATTTGTTCTTGATCCTCGTTATAAACTTCCTTACTTGGCAAATTGTATAGATTACTATTATGCTTCTTTTTTTCCAACTCAAGAGTTCGATGATAATCCTATCGACCCTAAACAAGAATTCAACGAGGTTAGTAATTTATTTCATCAATTGTATAATGAATTTCATGCACAATATGGTAATGCACCCCCTCCCATGCAACGAACATCTTCTTCATCTAAAGGAAAATCACTTTTAAAATCCGCTTTTGGTTCTCTTTTAAAAAAAAGTAGAGCAACTCCCGCTACTGAACAAAGCTCAGGTAACGAGCTTTCTTTGTATCTAACATTGAATGTTGATTATGAAGTTGGTGATGACTTTGACGTTCTTAAGTGGTGGAAGGAAAATGAAAGAACATTCCCGATTTTATCAAAGATGGCTAAGCAAGTACTAGCAATGCCGATATCAACCGTTGCCGTGGAACAAGAATTCAGTGCAGTCGGCAACGTCCTAACCGATTATAGAACGAGGTTGAGCCCGAGCTCTCTTGAGACACTAGTTTGCTTTCACGATTGGTTGAAGGCCCATCGAAGAACTCAAGAAATTACCATCACTCCCTCCCGCCACTTTATGGAGGAAACAACCGAAGGCGGAGAGTCCGATTGATTTTTTATTACAAAATGTATTACATTTTTTAAATTCATCCTAATTCTCAGTTGTACTTCTTATTTGAAATAAATATACTTCAATTCGAATATAATATATTGTAATTGTAATAAGAATTATTCTAATTATATAATATTTAAAAAAAAATTAAATAGGCCCGGCCCGGCCCGTGAACCGGGCGGGTGACCCGAACCGAACCGGACCCGGGGTTTTCCGGGCCGGTTCCGGGCCTGCCATCCTAGAACTGAGGCCCGGCCGGTTCTAGGCCCGAACCGGGCCCGGCCCGAACCGAGTCCACCACTAGTCATACGACTCTACGAGAGAATCATATGGAACTCCATAAAACCACTCCCACTTCAATAAAGTTTTTATACGAAATATTTTGTTTCACTACAAAACAACAAAGGTGAAGCTCTTTGAGAACCTGAGGGGTATTTTATTATTAAATAAAGAAAATATTATATGAAAAATAGCAAGGATCATAGATAATAAATTCTGCACATTAAATTAAAGTGGTTTAATTTAAAAAATGGTTGATGAGACTCGAACAGTCCGCAGGACATGTCATCTTAAAGTAGTACGATCATTTGAGAAGCTACAAATATTTGCCATATATACATTCATACAAGCATCAAAAGATGTCATCTTACATTACAAAATATAGGAGAAAAAAGAAATTTCAGCATATGTAACACACCATGGTCATGTTTGAGATTGTTTACAGTGAAACATGACTATAAAATTTCAACATGGAGACTGGCTAAAACCCGACCATTCATTCTGCATGCACTCCCATCAAAATCCATGTGTGCTCTTACCAACCATAACCATAATTGAAACCCACGGCAGCTAAATAAAAAACCGCATGCTCTTCAGATTATGTCAATAGGCTCTGTGCAGCCCTGTACTGCCAAACGCTCAGAAACATCGGCCAACGACTTGAGATTGCACTTGATTAATGCCTCCACGAAGTAGCATGTTTCATCCTTGGTGTTCCCCTCTGGGATGTCCACAACAAATGACTCAATAACCAATGTCCCAGGCCTACCATCAACGATGTCCGGGTGTACGGTGACGATTGAAGAGTAGTTCTGCATATTTTCAAATGAGAAATTTAAAAAAACTTGTATGTGCAGCCTCAGGTGGAAACTTACTGACCAAAAAGTGAGATTCTTTGTAAAAAAGAAGTGTAAATTCTAAAATCGGTCTAATGCCCTATGATAAACAAAAGAATAATGTATTACTACATAACTAAGCCAATAATTGAATCGTATGATTATTCTATCCTGATGCATGCATTTTAGTCAGCAATGCACATCAGCCAACTACATTGCCACTTCAAAGAACACCCACAAGGAACCCACAGTGTCTAGGCTCATGTTAAGCAGAAGTTCTACTAGTTTCGTCATTTCATGTAATCCGATCATCCACATGAAAGAAAGAAACAGATACTCCGATTATCCCCACAGTAGCGTGTTTCAAACACATTCTTTTGTCCACAAGATGTCACATTGAATATTCAGAGCTAACTTTTCATGTAGTTCGTCAATAAATCACCAAAAAGGAGTCCCAAACAAGTTACATATGATATATTTAGTTCAACTAACAAATATACTTTTAAAATATAATTACGATTCAGGATTTATGACAGTTTTTAGTATGAAGATCGTATTTAAGTTCTCTAGAATTCTTAATTTGACTTCATTAGTCCTACCTACAAATAAAACATTCCTGCTCAAAGAAATGCCAAATCAAAAATCAAATAAATTACTCTCGTATAAGCATAATATTTATTTATTACCCTTAGCCTGTGATCGCCGCCAACAATCCTCATGCTAAGTATGTGCTGATTGTCGTCGAGCAGCTCTAATCTCTCCTTGCTGGTGGTGGCTGGAAGTCCAGACCTAACATTGACTTCTCTAACACTTCCAATCTCAAGGTCACCCTCTGTGACACACCTGCTTACGAATGGCTTGTACCTCTGAGGTTGATCGAACCTCCTCACCAATGACCATACCTGCAATGTGCAAACAACTCAGAAATGAATAAGACCAAAAAAGATATGTTGACTCAGATAAAAGCACACCCTTTCACATTTAAAACCAGGATGATATCCAGTACTAAATGTGTTCACATCACACCATTAACCATGGGCCTAGCTCGGTCGGTCCCATCCCAAATTTGGTAAAAAAACGTAGTTTTGTGTGCAAAAAATAACATGGCAAAAAAAACTCTGCGGCCCACCAATACTTTTATGACTACACCACTTACCTTGACATCTCTTGCACCAATCTAATCGATTTATTTACTTCAAGCAAGCAAAAGAAGACTAAATATACATTAAAAAAAAGTGAAGGTTTCTACTTCCTTTCCATCAAAGGGAACCAAAATAATACAAATCTTAAGATAAAGTGATAAACATCCAAACGCAGCCACGCAGGGCACAATTTTGCACCAAAGTCTCAAACTTTAATTTTATGCAACTTCGAAAGTTAAATCTGAGCCGAAATCAAATCAGTCTGGGATGAATAGAGCACGAAACTAAACGGAGAAAAAGATCAACAACAGAAATTAAACATGCAGATCGAAATCCACATCTTCAGAAAATCACAGAAAGATCTAAAAACTTACAAGACAAACAGGAGCTCTGATGTGCTTTACCAGACACGAGCTACACTGATTCTCCTTGACCTCATGTTTGTGGTGTCTACTAATGTACTCATCCTCTACGCCGGTCCTGTCTTCGTTCATTATGTCCACCGCCATCCGCCGTGTATCGAAGACACTAAGAACTTCTGCGGTGGCGAGGGGATTGAGAGAGAGCAGATGTCAGAAGAGAACAAAAAGCACCGCCATTGGAAGAGAAAGAAGCTGCGATAGTGCGATGGTTGAATGGTCCAAAGAGAATTCAGATGCTTTCTGGATCATCCCCATCGTCATTTTCCCTTGATATATAAATGCTTTATTTGTATATTAAATGTAAGCAAAATAGACAAGTGGTCAAGTGGAAATACTACAAATTCTGTTACGATGCATTATCTAATACTGTAGAATTTTATTTGTAGTAGACAACGATAAATCCAGCATTTCCAGTCAAGGAGGATTTTTTTTGTTATCGTAAGGGTAATTTTTTTTACTAGGCAAGTGGGGCGATTTTTTTTTATTGTAGTGGACAAATTTTTTTCACTGTCATATTTTTTTACTCTGCAGGTATTTTTATGGGGTTTTGCCTATTACTAAATTTTAACTAATTACCAAAAATGTGACCATTTTTGTATAATGACAAAAAAGTGACTAAGAATGTCATATTTTTGGAAAACATGAAGTCATTGTCAATTTTCGTGTCACTTAACAGATGTCACTATCGATTTTCGTGTCACTTAACAAATCTGACTAACGATAAAACATGTCACTTTGCTCACCCGAAAAACTTTTCAACGATTCTTGTGGGTGAAACAACCTACGCCCCATACCCCCCAGCTCTAGCCCCTCCCCTTCTCCCCTCCACAGTCCACAACTCCTTAGCCCCTCCCCCAGCCTGAGCCTACCCTGCCCAGCGCGCGCCCAACCACAGCCCCGCCCCAATTCCGCTTGACCCCACCCTAGCGCTGCCCAACGACGCTCCCTGGCTAGGCATCATTGCCCCCAACAATCCGCCCTTTCCTGCAAAGGAATCACCCCCTTAGATATAAATTTGCTCCACATATCTTGAGTTGTCGTCAATCAGCGCCATGGAAGGGATGAAGCCAGTGAACAACGGCGGCGAAGAGGAGAATCGAAGAAGATGAAGCTAGTCGACGTCGCTGGCCGTCACCGCCGCTTCTCGTTTGTGTCAATGTGGTGCTCTCCGTCGTCTTCGCTGGAGGTCGCCGTCCACGCGTGTGCTGGTGGTCGCTCTTGGAAGACGAAGGAGAGAATATGGTCGCCGGAGGAGAGCTTGGTCGATGCTTCTGCGAAGAGACCTGCAGAATTGGACGATGCGTTTGGACGAAGAAGGAAGACGTGAAGATTTATGGCCCTGGGTTGTTCCACTTTAAATCATATTTTTGTTTAGATCTAAAATGATCATATATTGGTCCATTCAAAGTCTATAAGTAACATTTTAGCCATTCTTTCTGTTTTTATTCAAAAAAGAAAATCATTACTACATACACGAAGACAACTAAATCTATATATTACCTTCTAAGTTTAGACAATGACAAAATAACTATAATTTTATAATTGAATTGCTCTAGAAAAAGGTATCAATACATTAAAGTGTAAGAAAAGAAAAATCAAAGAAAAATAATTTGAAAATAAAAAAAGGTTATATAGTTTTTTATTTGAAGATAAAGAGTTTGTAAGGTACACATTCACCAATACTTTAAAATAAATTTTATGTTGTTTAACTACATGAATCTTATAGAAATAAAGAATTGGTTTTTGAATTACAACTTTTGTTTATCAAGGGGGTGTTCATGAGTCACGAATAGTTTCTCAATATTACAATAGTAAGTATGAGATTATTATTTTTAGAATAATATTATATTGTTAATTCATATATATAGTGCATATTGCATTTGTATTAATGCTAAAATAGTTAAAGTTTTTTTTTATCTATGCAATAAAGTCCTTGTAGAACGTAAGTAAATGAATTATGTAACTCAATATCAATAAACATTTATATTTTGAATTAACTTCACATGATCTAAAAATTGTGTAACTAGCGTATCTAGTATTTAATATCGTTTGACATATATTTTACAAAATTGAGTACTAGTTATCTGATAAAGATAACTAAACATTGCAAAACTAAGAATTTTTATATAATAAGTATCCTAAAACTTAAATAATGACTTGTTCTATTGTTTATTTATTTAAATTGTGTAAATTATTTTAAATGTTCTTTCTTTTAAATCTCCAATTAAGTATTACATTATGTAAGACTATTGTAAAAGTTTTACATTATGAAAACTAAAAAATAAAAGTTTTACGAAAATATTACATATATGGTAGAAAATTTTGAAAGTTCAATTGTGCACAAGAAAGTATAATATTGATGGATAGTCTACCCGGGGGTATATATCCGAAGGGTTATTGCGGGGAATAACTCAGAGAGAAGTCAGAGCGAGTAAGTAAATGTAGAGAGAGAGTGTATTCAGTATGAATGTCGTGGTTACAAACGGGGAAATGGGGTGCTATTTATAGTAGCAATAAATGCCGGACAGGGACACGTGTCAAGCGTCCATTGGCCGAGGGGTCACCTCAACTGGTTGGCGCTGGCAGCCGCATGTGGCCGCATTTAATGCGGCTGTTGGATGGGACGTCTGTGCGGGGTACGGTGATCTGTACGCATGTGAGGCGGATATCTTGTCGAGTGAGATGCCTTCGGCTATAGAGCAGTAGCCGAGGGCTCCTCAAACCGATGGCACCCTGGTGCCGAGGGCTCATAGTGCCGAGGGCTACTGTTTTCGCCGTTTTCTCCCAGTTTCTTAGTTTCCCTGGAAAACCCATTCTGTGAGAGTTTAGAGCCTTCGGCCAGGGGGGACGAGGGCACCCCTGGTGCGTATTGCGGGCTACTTGGTAATCTGGACGCCGTGATTTGGGCCTGGTGGGCCTCCTGGGCCTGTTGGGCCTTCGTTGGTGTAGTAGGAGTCTGTGGGCGGGGTGTTCCCGGGCCATATACTCCATTAGGAGTCCCTCACTCCTTTTGCCGAAAGGTATTTGAGGGAAAAGGAGTAATCTGTGCTTGCCCTTTGATGTTGTCTTGTCGTGATCTTTGAAGTTGGTGAGGGGTTGTTGCTTTTATGTCCCTGCCGAAGGCAGTCCCTCAGTTACCCACATGTCGGGACTTGAGGGCTTGCTTTGTCGTTTGTTGGAATTTCACTAACTTTGTTATTTAATGATTTTCCCGAGGGGGTCCTCCAGTCCCCCACTCCTTGAGGCACTTGTAAAGTGGTGAAAAGGAGTAGAGTAGTTGCGTTGCTGTTGTGGGCCGAAGGCTGACGTTTTTCGTTCCATTTTGGGGGGATGCCTCGTTAAAAACCTCATTAGGAAAAACCCTGTGGGAAAAAATCCTAATGAGGGAAAAAGAGTGCACCGAATTCCCCCAATGATGAATCGAAAATGTCAAACCTTGGTAAAAAATGGAGAATGACGGTAATGCCGAAGGCTCTCCGTTTGCTGAGGGCTCATGTATTGATTAGCCGAAGGCTTGCTGTTGATGTCCTGGGGGTGCTGAAGGCGAGCCCCTTAATCTGGGGCCGAGGGCCTGATGGATGAGGGCAGCAGTGGAGTTGTTACCGGGGGTCCACTGTTGTTGAGTAGTTGGTGATGAAGATACCCGAGGGCTCCCATTACCTGTGTGCGATAGGCTATCCGTCAATGAGGCAACTCTCCGGGGGCTACCCGGTTTATATTGCTGAGGGGGAATCCCCCGAGGGGTACCCTGATATGAAGCCTTGGGTTTCTGGAGGAGTGATCCCGAAGGCATCTGCTATGTGCTGTGTGGGGCACAACCCCGGGGGTGTCTCTTGGTAAGTGTACCCGGAGGCTCTCCCTGATGAAGTGGAGTGAAGTAGAAACCCGGGGGCTTCCAGAATATAGCCGTTGGAAATATAGCCGTTGGAATATGTAACGTCAGGATATAGCCGTTGGGGGGGTACACGTGGCGCGTGATGGTTGGCTGCCCGTGGGCGGCGTCACCGGTTGGGTGAAAACACGGTGCGTAATGATGACGGTCCGTTTGGAGGCCCGGTTTCCGGGCCCAAGCCCGGATTCCAGCGCCTATAAATACCCCAAGGCCAGGCATTCCTCCGTGTGCGAAAAACTTGTTAGCGAAGCTCTGCCAATTTTTCTAGAGAGAGAAACAGCAGCCCTCGGTTGAATCCTCTGTTCTTAAGGTCAGTTCTCCGCTTGCCCTTCACCTCTTAGCTACCTGTATTGTGCCCTTAGGCTAGGAGATAGGATATTCTAGGAAACCTTAGTTTTCCCGAGCCTTCGAATTAGTGAGCAGATGTCATCACAGAGCGACTCCCAGGATATCTCGGGGGAGCCTTCGGTAGAGATGGAGACATGCTCAGATGTGGAGTCTTCGAGCGTGGAGTCCTCGGCGGGTGGTGATGCCGCAGTGGCCATGGAAGTGGAGAAGGACCTCCAGGCCGAAGTCGAAGTCGAGGGCTTCGAGCAAGAAAACGATGATGAAGAGCTTGCCCTCGCCGTGCAAACCGCCGAGCAAGAAGAGGAGAGGGAGAGGCTGAAGGTGACGGTCGCCATTCCTCCCCCCGGGGTGCCGGGGAAGCCAGCTCCTCCCGGCCGTTGGATCCGACGCCCATAAGTGTGGCTCCCGGGAAGAAAAACAAGATGAAGGCGGCCCCAAGGAAGAAGCAAGCGGTAGTTGATGCTGGGCGACCGGTGGGCATACCTGAGGGCCATTCGTTCCTGAATACTGCCGCTCTAGAGCTGAAGACGAAGGCGTCCCCGGCAGAATACCAGTCCACCCAGATGCTGGTTGGCCCTTCGGCGCGCGTGGTGGAGCCCAGGGCGGATGATTTGCTGCGATATGCGCCCGAGGGGTGTTTTGCTGCTCACACCCTCTCGGTAGAGATGGGGCTTCGGTTCCCGCTCCATCCTTTCCTCTTGGAGTATCTGAGATTTGTGGGGTTGGCCCCCTGCCAGCTAACGCCCAACAGCCACTCCTATGTGGCCGGCTTCCTTTCCTTGTGTCAGAGCCGGGGGGTCGAGCCCACACTTGATCAATTCTTCATGTCCTTCAACCTCTGCCGGGGGGGGGGGGACATTCAAATGCTGAGGGCTTTGCCAACCTTCAGCAGGTACCGGAGTTCCGGCTTTTTGATGATGTGCCCTCGTCCCACAAGGGGTGGAAGGAGAGGTTCTGCTACATTCGCCTCGAAGAGAACCCCTTCCCGGCCCAACTCCGC